TGGATCGAACGGAATGATTAATTCAGATAATGCATGCTTAGAGATCGAGTTCTGTATCGGAAAGTTAAATTTTTAAAAAACATCTCCAATGCTTTTCATCAATCAAATAATCCAATTTTTCACCTTTTTTCGCTAAATAGCTCAAGAAATTCGTTGATTTAGTCATGGCTTTGCGATGGTGAGAATGACTGTGGAGATGGATCCGATGAATCTGCCGAACATGGCTGCAAGAAAACTCAGCCATCAAGACGTTGTCCATTCGAACAGGTAAGCATCCTTATTGATTTGCTCTTGCCCGAAATCAATCGATAATCGAATTTTCTCTAGGTGCCATGCGAGGGCGCACCCGACGTATGCATACCGTTGACTGAACTTTGCGATGGCAAACCACAATGTCCTGGTGGTACTGATGAAGGAGGAAGGTACTATAATTATAGGCAAATAGGTTACTGTATGCTACCGTATTTTTGTTTTTCAAGATGTGCTCGTGATCTTTGCTCCGCTGATCGTGCAGGATGCGCTTTCAAATGTCATAATAGTCCGAATGGGCCATTATGTAGTTGTCCATTTGGGGAGCAGGTCTGTACCTATTGAAGTGATTAGTTTGCTGTAAATATTCATTTTTTTAGCTAGTAAATAAAACTAAATGCGAGCCAGAGAATGAATGTCTGGATGCCAGCTCGTGCTCACAGAAATGCACGGATGAGAAACATGGTTTCACTTGCAGGTTGGTTACGGTAGTCAAAAGTCGCTTTACGGACATATCCGTCACCTTCAAGTGTACGATAAATTAGCCATAAGTACTGCTCTTTCAGCTGCGAAGAAGGCTACACTCTTGATGCTGATAAACGAACATGCAAAGTTACCGAAGGCAATCAGGATATGCGTGTTTACATATCTAATCGTAACAGGTACATTGTAATTTTGAGAAATCACCTTTTCTTTCCCACAAAAACACTTATATGTCAATTTGGATTGTATGGAAATGAGTATTATTATCTAGACAGCGATCATCAACTTTATGTTACGAAAACCTGCAAAAATAGTTATTTGGGCGGGTTCAAGAATTTTTTCACCGTAAATGACGTAAAGTAGAAAGATTAGATGCATCACTCTTCAAAAGCAAACA